AACACTAGGCGTTCCCTATTCAAGCCGGACCCGGTAAACCGCTTTGGGCCAACGCTCGACCAGGAACCCCACCGTCCCTTCCGACCCCCTTCTTCCCTTTCGGGCAAGGGTTTACCCCTCCCCCGACCCCCCCCTGGACCTAAAGGGTGGGGGGGTTCGCGAAACGTTGGAGCGTCTAAGATGGCACAAGATGGCCCCAGGAGGGCCTCAGAGAGCCCAAGATGACTTCCAGCATGGCTCCAGATAGCCCAGGATGACTCCAGATGGCTCCCAATATGTTCCCAATGGGCCCCAAGACCACTCCAAACAGGCTCCAAGCGGCCATGGAGCCTTCCTAGGAGGCCGCCAAGAAGACACACCCCTTCAAACACCCAAACAAATCAATGGATGTGGCCTTTTCGCCGTTTTGCTTTCGATGGACTTCCGAGTCATCAAGACAGCTCCGAAGGGCCTCGTAAGAGCCCCAAGACAATGCAAAACGACCCCCCCAAACGGACCCAATAGCGCTTCAAGAGCGCTCGAACAGGGGTCCAAAAAGAGATTCTTGGGGCCTCCTGAAGGAGAGCCGTAATTGGAGTTCTCCCTTTGTTTAACGATCTCCTCAAAAGTTGGCCCCGACAGCGTTCCCAAGGCTCCCGAGTGCGCCTCAGGAGGGCCTCGAGAAGCGCCCAGGAGGTCCCAAGAGGCGCCCAAGAGGCCTCCAAGAGGTTCCCATGAGACCCCAAAGAGGTCCCAAAAGGCTCCCCGAGGCACCCACGTCGCTCCAAGAGGCCCCCAGGACCGTCAAGAGCCCCCCGAAAGCGTTCCAAGAGGGACCCTTCCTCAGTATGCTGCCCACTTTCCTGATCGAGGCAGCTCCTCTGGGCATGGTCTTTGGATGGGCTGCTAGGGTTACTTTTAGTCAGCAGCCGCAAGCGAAAGCGCAAACGGCGAGTCGAGTCAGAGCGGGCCGCGCAAAGACGAATTACCCAAAGCGGCGGGGCCTCAGGCATCACCGCGGCGGGCAGGGCCGGTGGGTGGGGGGGCAGGCTGCGGCTGCCGGGGGCTGAGCCAGGGCAACGCGCAAATTGGCCAACCAGGGTTGGGGCGCGGCCGAAATGGCGCGGGCTGCACACCAGGATGGGGCCAGGGGGGCGGCGAGCCAGAATCTGCGACGACTGCAAAGCGTGCCGAAGGGCCCGAACTGGTGCACTGAGTGGCGCCACCAGAGGCGCACACTCGGTTCCCTATGGGAAGCACTGATCCTGAGAAGTCCGGCCGCGAGGTTGCCCAGGGACGGGCAAGTTGCCAGGGACACGGTGGAGGTACTCGACACCGTAAGCTCCCGCACCACCGGACGTTCCGAGCTGGAACCGGCGGCTGCGGGCTGTTGAGACAACGCGACCCACACCTCAAATCCGGATCGAGGTAGCAAGAGAATGCCGTGGGCGCTGCCGCCAGGGACCATGGAAAAAATCAACACGGTCGGCCAGCTGCTAGGGTTACTTTTTTAGTCAGCGGCCACAGGCGAACGCGCCAGCGGCGAGTCCAGTCAAAGCGGGGCGCGCACAGACGAATTAACCTAAACGGTGGGCCGGAGCCTCACGCAGCACCTCAGCGGCCGGCCGTCGAGTGGGAAAAGGCTGGCGGTAAACTGGGGAGCAGTACTGCCAGGGTGCAGGCATGCAACGCGTCGGGAGCAGCAGGCGGCCAGGGTGACAGGCGAAGCTGCTAGGGTTTTTTTTTTTTGTTTGTGTCAGCGGGCAGACGCGTAAAGCAGTCGCCGAGAGGGGGGTCCGGGGCACGGTCCAACTGCTAGGGTTACTTTTTTTTTGCCGCGGCGGGCAGACGCGTGAAGCAGTCGCCGAGAGGGGGTCCGGGGCACGGGCCAGCCTAATTGACTACTGAGCGACGCGCAAGCCGGCCGGGCCAGCACTCAGAAGCGGCGGCTGAGGGGCAGCTGCTGGTGGAACTGGCTGGCTGGTCTGCAACGCCCAGGGAAGATGATGACTGCTAGGACTACGCGAAGCGTCAAGAATTGATACCAGCGCCGAATCAGAATTCTACATCCCAGGAGTTGCATTCTGCCCAACGTGCTTGTCCAACAAGGCCCCTCCAATACGACGTGAGGCGTGGTAGCGAGGGCCAACACAGGCCACTGATGACAATGAGCAGGGTAAACGCATAACCACATTGAATTGGGATAACACGCGTCCTGAGGATCATCAACCCTCCCCTGAGATGCTGGCGTCGCTTGTTGCTCACTCTTGGCGATTTCGCCTCTATCTCGGGCACAGGGGCCCTCGCGGAACGATCCCTCTCGAGTAATGCCTCAGAAATCCGCTCCTCTGCGCGAGAAAAACCCAACTGCGGGGGCGCGCATCAAGAGACCAGATGCTCTTCGCTACGGGTGCGTCCTCGTCGCGCGCTGCGCTGGTGACCTCCCGTGGGCGTTGAGAAACTGCTGCGTTCAGGGTGCATCGCGGGTCCCCCCCATGTGACGTCGCGCGAGGATGAGGCGAAACCGAGGAGGGCCAAGGAGGACCACGAGGAGGAAGACAAGCTCAAGGACGACGAGGGAAGATCCTGCGGAGGACGAGCACGAGAAGGCGGAGGACGACGCGAACGACGAAGAGGGGGCAGGACGACGACAGCGTGGACGACTAGGCGGATAGCGTGGATGAAGGACGCCTGGGCTCTCCTGGGCCACCCTGTGGCTCTCGGGGGGGGACCCGAGTGCCGCCCAGGGCGCGTTCGTGGGAGCCCCTCGGCGCCTCCCGGGGGCGCCCACGGCGCCCAGGACGCGGCAGGAGATGGCAAGGACGACGGGGGGAGGACCAAACTCGGAGAAAGGCAACGTGAAGATACCGTCGGGGCGTTGACCTTAAATAAGGAACGAGGCCCCTTTTTTCCATAAGTTAAACTTCGATCGTCCATGGAAAACCTCGGGAAAACCCAAGGAGCACTGTAGAGCAATTAAGGGACACGGAGCCCCTCCCCAACAAAAAAGGGTTCCTTCTTCAGGGCCCCCGACTGTAATCGCTGAGCGCAGAGGCAGGGCGCCAGCCAGGGGGACGAGAAGGCGGGCGGCAAAGAAGAGGACAACGAGGAACAAAAAGGGACGAGAAGAGGCCTTTCGAGGCGACCCTGAGCGCTGCTGGGACCTTCTGGGGCTGCGTTGAGGCCTCTTGGGAACCACTTGAAGGCCTTCCGGGGTTTTCTAAACGCGTCTTGGGATCATTACGGCGATCTTTGGACAAGGTTGGCGCCCTCGTGGGTCGTCGTGTGGCTATCTCGGGCACCTCTTGGGGCATCTGAAGACCGACGGAGAGAACTAGGCTAGGAGAAAGACATGGTCATGATATGCGTGGAGGATACTGGGGAGGACATGAAGGAGGACGAGGAGGGCAACACGGATGATGACGAAGAAGAGAAAGGGGCAAGAGAAATGAGCACGAGGAGAGCTCCGCAACACCGCTCGGGCAGACACACGTGAATCCCTCACAATCCAAGAATCGAGTCCGCTGAATCCCGGTGGCTGTGGGTGAGAAGGCGCGTGAGATGATTGGCCGTCTCTGAAGGGGCCCGGGGAGACACAAATAAATGGACGCAAATCCCATCATTCACAATGCTTCCCATATTTAATACATGTTGGCGTCCCCCACCATCGCCAACATTTTCCTATATGTTCTTGGAAATCAATGACCAATTGTGTTTCTGTTTTTCCCTCCTAACCAATGGGGTTCGGGAATGCCGTTCGACGGGGGGGGGGGACGGCGAACTCCCTGGCGAACCTCCCGGACCCTCCCAGCTCCCTCGGAACCCTCCAGGATTCCCAGAATGGTTCCAGGAAGGTTCGAGAACAGCTCCTGCAGGGACAAGGGGGCCCAATGGGGCTCCAAAAGGCCGCGGATTTTACCAAGAACACTCCCGACAGACCCAGATCACACGAGAGCCGTACCTGTTAAAATGCTGGCCGTTCTCTGTCGCGCCTCGCTTCCCATGGGCCTCCAAGACCTCCGAGTGGCTCCAAGGTCGCCGATGCTCTCGAGCGGCATAACGGATCCCAAGCCTCAAAGAAGCGCCGCAATCCTAAGCACGACAGGCGCGTTGTCTGCATCCAAACCCGCATTTAGGCCTCCTCCTTTGTAGACCGATGGCCTGCACGATGGCTCGAAAGAGGGCCCCCCCATCGGCCTCCGGTGGAGGCCCCAAAACACCCCCGAGGGGGTCCCAAAGGCTACCGAACGTGCCCCAAGGGGCCTCCAGCTAGGCTGCCTCCGGGAGGCTCCGAGAGGTCCTTGGTCTCGTCACGGTTGGCCTCTTAGGAGGAGGAGGAGGAGGAGGAGGAGGAGGAGAAGGAGGCGAACGAGGAGGAGGTCGAGGGGACGAGGATGACGTCAAGGAGGAGGAGGAGGAGGAGGAAGAGGAGGAGGAGGAGGAGGAGGTCTCACTGACTGCATCCGGGCTGCCTGCCTTCGCACAGCGCGCTCCCCGAGGCGCGACCACCTCCGCGCCCTCGCGCCGCCCGCTCTGAGAAGGGCATCCGCTCTAGCCTGGACCGCGACGCGCGAAGCGCGATGATCTGCGCATCCCCGCGCGAGTGACTCAATGTGTGCTGACGGCATGGGCCCGACCAGGAGGCCCCGTCCACAAGAAGCCCAAACCTCGGATCCTTGGTGTGGGAACGCGACGCTTGCCATGGCAGGTCCATCGGAACCCAAGAGACCCAGGGCACCCTGAAGCGAGCAGGGTGTTTCTTGGCATGGGTCTCCACTGTATATATATATATATATTTCCCGTTTTCCCCCGCTGTTCGCCCGGGCATTGATTCTGGATGAGCTGCTATGGATGAGGGGGGCCTGGGCAAATGGCGCAACCCTCTTGAATATATCACAATATAGGAATTGTCAACACCCACCTTGTCCGCCTCCTCAAAACAAGTGGCCCCTGCTGCACCAAGCGCCAATCCACTCGGCAAAGACCGTGCTACCAAGCTAGCTGACTCGACCATGTGCGCATCAAGACAAAGGGTCCTCGCAGATGCCCTTGTCCCAATTGAGCGTCTTGAGGTCCATCAACATGGTGCGCGAGGCATTCGTGATGTCGGTTAAGTGGTTGTGGACACCGCCCGAATCCACACCCCCAGTCATGTTGTAAAGGATCCTGAACAGGTGGCGTCACAACTACGAAACAACGCATCGAAATTGAAACAAGAAGACGCACTGTTGATTTTGGTGTACCGGCTGTTTTCACAAAAGGCCTCCCACCCCAAACGACGCAAACCACTACATGCTCCCCGTCCGTTATGCGAGCGCCGGAAGTGGCGATTCGCGTGAAGGTGAATTGGGGTGCCGTTTCAACCAGGGCCCGCAAACGAACAACTCTCGCACCAGTCCTAGGCGTCGAAACTACAGATTTTGCGTTTGGACAAGTTGTAAATTCAAAGTGAAACCCTTCAACAGGGCCCCAACACCGAAGATCTACATAACAAAACTGCCCTTGCACGCGATACGGGTAATCTCCAGAAGGGGCGAACTGCGGCAACTGTGCGCATCCTTCGTGCTCGTGAGGATGCGGTACATGGAACGTCTAGCACTCATGACACAGAAGCACTGATGACACTCAAGACACAAAGACCAAACGATTGCGCTCACCAAGGGAAACCCATATATAGCCGAAACTCCAGACTTACCGTTCGCGCCATATCGCTATTGCGATGTGCATCCCTCACACGCCGCATGCGAACAGAAACTCCAGAAATTTCATCCTGGTAAAAGCTCAAGTATCAGGGGCGCGCCCCTCGAGGCGATGCACACCATCGAAGCTGTAACTCGCGTGTCGCCTCTATCCATACTGCGGAGGCGCAACCCTCACACGAGGAACGGGCTGCTCAGAGGCCTCCTAGGGCCTCACAAGTACGTTTCACTCTGGATCCTAGCGAAGGCTGCGAACGTATATCTCTGGTGACACAAGCTGTCAAGAAAAACTGGAGCGGGAAAGTGAAGGAGGCAATGAGGCCATGCAAACGCAGCGAATGCGAACGCGCAGCCTTCGATATGACCAGCCACTGCTGATATGGCTGAAGTGCACCTGTTCACCTGTTCCCCTTACCGTCCCATCGCCCCCCCTCCCGCTCCAGGAGTAGGGACACGTGCGTGAAGGCTGAGGGCAAGGGCCATGGGATGGGAAGGAGACGCAAGCTGAAATGCTCTAGCCTTAGAAGCCAAACCTGCATAAACACAAACTTTCGAACCTCTGTGCGGAATTTTTCGATGGACGCAGGGCCCCCCTCCCTTTCGCGCGGAGCACGCCAGAGGCGCCGCCAGAGGGGTCCGTCGCCGATCGAAGAGATCTGCGAGGACCCAAAGTGAAGGATGAGGAATGAGGGATGGTGGGGATCTTACAGTCGGGGCGTTGACCTAAGGAACCCTAAATAAGGAACGAGGCCCCTGTTTTCCATAAGTTGAACCTCGATTTCCTATCGAAACCCTAAGGAAAACCTGAGGCAAGCTGCGAAACACTTAAGGAACACGGAGCCCCTCCCCAACCAAAAGGGTTCCTACTTCGGGGCCCCGACTGTAGTGGACCCTGCACACGGCAGGGCTGTTTTTTACTGGTTCCATGCTGCCGTTGTTTTGCAGGTTCCAGCGTGGTTGTTTCCCGTGCCGTCGCCGTTTTTGTATTTCCGGTTCTGGTTTCGGCTCCCATTCTGGACCTGTTTCTGTTGCCGTTTCCGGGTGCCGTTTTCTTACCCTCTCCTTTTTCAGGACACACTGCCTCGGAAGTGGTGAAGAACGGCCCTACTAGTTTCTGGGACCCACCGAGGTGAGGACGGTAGGGGCAGCAGGGACGCGTGCTGTGCATTGGTGGGCCGCGGGGGCCCCGTTTCCCTCCTGATCGCAGGAACTTGTCCGCGCTTCCGTTGGTTCCCCTCCACGACGGCCTCGTGGAAGTAGCAGTTCCCGTGGCATGTGAAGGTACATGCTTACCATGCTGGTTTCTCCTTTCACACACTTTATGACGAAGGTCCTGGAGGCCTCGCGCGGCGACCTGAGACCCAGTGTACATCGGATCGACGTCGGATTCACGTCTGACTGGTGTCGGATTCACGCCGGTTTCACGTCAGGCTTACGTCGGAACATCGCTTCGCGAACGTCGTGCCACATTTGACGGGACGGACGTGTGGACTAGAGTCCGCCACCGTGCCGCTAGACGCGAATTGGAATGCTCTCAACTCCAATGTCCGCCACCGTGCCGTCAGGTCCTCTGCCAAATCCTGGAGGCCTCGATCCTCACTCCTCAGGAGTCGTTATGAGGCCCAGACCCCAGAGTCGCAGATCTTCTTGGGCTTGTCGCGGTTCCCCGCGGCTTGTCGCAAGACTTTTTTGGGGTTCAACAAGGGTCCAAGACGGGCCGAAGGAGCCCCAAGAGACCCCCAAGAAGGTCCAAGAGTGCTCCCAGTTGCCGAAATATCGTCCAAGACGCCCAAGACGACCACAAGGGGGTCCAAGAGGCAGAGGCCATCAAGACCCCCCAGAGGCCTCCAAGAGGCCTCCACGAGCCCAAAATCATTGCTGTTCCTAAGGTGTTTGAAGGATGTTGGCGTTGTCGCTTTTCCCCAAGACTGCCCAGGAGAAGGCTCCAAAACGGCCCAAGAGGGCACCAAGACTGCCCAGAAGGCGCGCAATACAGCACACGAGGGCCCGAAGATGGCCCCAAGAGGGGGCCCAAAGGGGGAATCCGACGGACGCCGCCTGGAGGACCCAAGAGGCCCCCAAGATGCCCCAACAGGGGCCAAAGGGGCTCCCCACAGATGCCGCCAAACTGCGCCCAGGCCCCCCAAAGCTGCCGAAAACTGTCCAAGACGGCCCCCAGACGGCCCAAGACGGCCCCAGGACTGCCCCAGAGGGCCCCCGCACGGCCCCAAGAGAGCCCCAAGAGGGCCCCAAGAGGCTCTCAAGCGGGCCCGAAGAGGCGGTATGGGGTCTGGGCTGCTTGGGTGTAGGGACTGGGCTGGCCCAAAGACGGCCCAAGAGTGCCAAAACGGTCCAAAAGGGCCCCCAATAGATTCCCAAGAAGCCCCAGAAACGCTAAGGAACATGGCTCCCCACAGCGAGCGGTGACGCAACAAACTCTGAACACCAAGCCTCCCAAGAGCGAGCGGCAACGGCCCTTTTATGCCGTCTTGGGGCGCTTTTGGGCCGCCTTGGGGCTCTCTTGGGGCCCTCTCGGGTGCCTCTCGGGGCCCTTGGGCAGATCTTTGGGGCCTCTTGGGCCGTCTTGGGCACGTCCGTGTGCCCTCTTGGACCGTTTTCGGCACTTTTCGGGGGCCTCTGGGGCCTCCGGGGATTTGTTTGGAGCCTCTTGGGCAAGTTTTGACCTTTCTTGGCCTAAAAAAAAGCAAACCTTTCTTGGACATCAATGTTGTTTGCCCCTGGGGGGCCCTCTCGGGGGCACTTGAGCCATCTTGAGGTTCTCTTGGACCGTCTGGAGGCCACCTGAGACTCTCTGGGGCCGTCTTGGGACCCTTTGGGGCCGTTTTGGGGCCCTCTGGGGCCGTCTTGGAACCCTCGGGCCACGCCACTCGAAAAAATACGGGGAAACGGGCCATGGGAGCCGCCCGTGAGCCGCTTCACTTGAAAAACCTACGAGGAAAACTTGCCATTACATCGCAGATCTGCGCGCCTCGCCCCTCCCCTGGTCCCCTCCCTTAAGGGCTTCGCCCACACCAAATGACGTACATCACTCGTACCTCGCTCTTTCCGTGACCTGCTTGGCCTGGGGACGGGAAGCGCGCCTCAGGAACTTGCCCGAGAGGGCTCATGGCACCCTTCGCTCTTGGGAGCATTGGTGGTAAGAGCTTGTTACGTCACCGCTCGCTCTTGGGAGCCTTGGTGTTCAGAGGCATTGGCGTTGCGGCTCGCTCTTGGGAGCCTTGCTGTTGAGAGTGGTTTGCAGCACCGTTCGCTCTTGGCAGCCTTGGTGCCACGAGTTTGTCATGGCACTATTCGCTGTTGGGAACCCTGGTGTGAAGATCTTTTATTTTGCGTCTCTGGGCCGTTTGGGGGTCTTGTTGGAGCCCTTCAGGGGCCCTTGTGGACCGTTTTGGGGCTCTTTTGGGCCGTCTCGGGGCCCTTTTGGAGGCCTTGGACCGACTTAGGGCTCTCTTGGCGGCCCCTTGGGGCCCTCTCGGGAGCCTCTTGGGGGCCTCGTGGAGCTCTCCTGGGGTAGTCTTGGGGCCCTCTTGGGCCGTTTGGGGGCCCTCTTGGGCCGTATTGGGGCGATTTGTGGGGCCTCTTGGCCTGTCGCGTAAGAATAGAGAAGGCGGAGATGCTGAACATGTACGTTTTCCGATCAGAATATTACGATTTGCGCCTCTTTGGCGTCCTCTCGGGACCCTCTCGGAGCGTCTTTGGGGCCTCTTGGCCAACCTTGGACCCACCCATCTTCGGGCGTCTTCGGGGAATCTTGGACCGTTTCGGGACACACTGAAGCCGTCTTGGGGCCCTCTTGGGCTGTCTGGGAGCCCTCTTGGACCGTTGTCGGCTCCTTTGGGAGGCCTCTGGGGCCGTCTTAGGACGATCTTTGGGGCCTCTTGGGCCGTCTTGGGCACGTCCGGGTGCTCTCTTGGACCGTGTCCGGCACTTTTCGGGGGCCTATGGGGCATCCGGGGACGATCTTTGGAGCCTCTTGGGCAGTGTTTGACCGTTCTTGGCCCCCCAAAAAGAAAAACCCACCAAACCAGCAAAAACATAGACACATCAATGTTGTTTGCCCCTGGGGGCCCTCTCGGTGGCCCTCTAGAGGGCCTCTGCGGCCATCTGGAGGCTCTCTTGGACCGTCTGAAGCCACCTGAGGCTCTCTCGGGGCCGTCTTGGGACCCTCTGGGGCCGTTTTGGGGCCATCTTGGGCCGTCTTAGAGACCTCGGGCTGCGTCACTCGAAAAAATACGGAGAAACGGGCCATGGGAGCCGCCGGGGAGCCGCTTCACATAACAAATACAAGGGAAACTTGTCATTACATCGCATATCTGCGCGCCTCGCCCCTCACCTGGACCCCTCCCAAGGCTTCGCCTCACCAAATAACGCACATCACTCGTACCTCGCTCGCTCTTTCCGTCACCTGCTTGGCATGGGGACGGAAAGCGCGTTTCGTTTGTGAGGGCGCGAGGTCGCTAGCTTAGTGTCTTGGAACCCTGTTGGTACCCGCCACCCCCTGTGATCCTGCCACAGGGCTGCCTGGCGTGCTGGACGTCCGAAAAGTTGTTGGCTCTTTTGCAGAACACCGCCTGTGGCTTCGGCACAGCGCGCCTGCCACCGGGAAGACCCCGTTGCCAGTGTTTGTCCTGCTCCACATGGCCCGAAGATGACCTACGATGGCCTCCAAGCCGGCCAAGGTGGCACCCCAGAGAGTCCAAGAGATGCCTCCAAGTTCGTCCAAGGAGCCTCCAAGACGACTCAAGACGGCCCCAGAATCCCCCAGGAGGCCTTGAAGACGGGTCGAAAGGCATCCAAAAAGTCCTCTGAGGGGCCGAAGAGGCAAACATCATTGATTTCTTTTTCTGAAGGATGTGGGCATCTGCTTCTTTTCGACCTTCCGACGGCCCAAGACGGCCCAAGAGACCCCCAAAATTGCCCCCAGAGCGCCCGAGAGACCTGCAAGATGGCCCCATGACGGCCCAAGTGGCTCCCAAAACGGCCCCGAGAGGCTCCAAGACACCAAGCTGGCCTCCAAGACGGCCCAAGACCGCCCTGAGGAAGCCCACAGACGGTTCACAGAGGCGCCCAGGACGGCTTCCGACTGCGTCAGACCTGCCCGAGGAGGCCTCTAAGAGGCCTCCAAGAGGGCCCTCCTCCAGGAAGCTCCCAAGAGACCCCAAGTGTCCCAATAGACTTCCGAGAAGCCCCCTCCTCTCCTCCTCCTTACTGTTCCTCCCTCTCTGCCCTTTCTTTGTTTCTGCATCACTTCTTATTTCATTAACATTCGTGTTCCTCCTCTTCCTCGTCTTATCATTCGTATTATCGTTGGTTGCTTCTCCTCCACGGGTCCCCGGAAGGGTCTCCACAACGGCTGGGGGAACACATGGCCCGATAGCTCGGCAGAGCTCTGGCCACAACGTTCCCACCTAGGCGCTTCCCACAAAAAGGCAGGGTGCGGCGGTGATTCGCCGTAGGCGCTTTCGACAGTCCCCATTACCCAAAACTGAATCTTGAATGGGCAACGCCCCAAATTCTCACACTGTCGGGCTTCCTGGCGTGTCGGGGATGTGCTGACCCGGGTCAACCCAGACCCGGGTCAGCCAGGCCTGGCAGAATCCTGCAAACTCCTGCGAGATCCTGCGCCCAAACCCGGGTCAGTGGCAGGGTCCTGTAGGATCCTGCATCCAAAACCGGGTCAGTGCGACCCCCTGCCTCCCCCTCCCTCCCTGCCCCCCCCTCTTCCCCCCCTCCCCCTCCTCCTCCCCCTCCTCCCCCCCCTCCTCCTCCTCCTCCTCCTCCTCCTCCTCCTCCTCCTCCTCCTCCTCTTTCTCCTCCTCCTCCTCCTCCTCCTCCTCCTCCTCGGGCTGTGGGAGAGCCACGGTGGGCCTCTGACACACAGCCCCAGGGAGCGGCAGCGGGCGGGGGCCGCAGGCCAGCGGGTCGGAGCGACGGGGCCGCCTGGAGTGCCGGGGTGACGTGGGACTCCGTGGCCCGGACTCTGCCTGGCTTCGTCCAGGCGTGCAGGCCGGTGCACGGGGGGACCCCGTGGGGCCCCGGTGGAGGGCCACTCGCTTACCAGCCTCGAACGTATCCCTATCGGGGATGGACAGACTTCCCTTTAGCAAAACGTGGTTTAGTGAAAACGACCTGAGGCCCAAACCTGGCGGGCGCAAGCCTGGAAAATAACGGCCACGGCGCCCTCTCGAGAACCGAGAACGGACAATTCACTAATCGACGTGTCACTGTTGGGGGTTCTGTCCACCTCTGACCCTATCCCTAAGATTGGCACGCCAAAAGGCGATGCCAATCTTGGGGATCCGCCCTCAAAAAAAATGAGGGAATCCCTAAGTTTGGCATCGTGTGGAGGGGGTGCCCAGCACAGGGATAGGGATATGTTCCAGGCTGGTAATTGGTGGTTGTTGGTGGTTGTTGTTGTAGCTTCCCCCGATGCCGGCCCCCCCCCCCCCGCGATCCCCCCGCGACCCACCCCGCGACCCACCCCGCGACCCACCCTTGACCCACCCTTGACCCACCCGCAACCAGCCCCGCGTCCGCCCCCTCACTCTTATCCGCAATTGCGGGGTGCTGCGTACAACTATGGCGCGCCGCGCGATGCATCCAGGATCCGAGAAGATGGGAACGGTTGACCGCAGATGCATCGCCAACGTCGCCGATGCGTCAGCGATGCAACGGCGATGTATCGGCGATGCATCGGCGATGCGGCGCGATCCTCCTAACCCTATCTACTCCGACCCCGCCTGGGAGGCCGAGAAGGGTTCTCCTCGTGGATTGGCGCTCGAGTCTGCAGGGGAGGCGGGCGACGTCCAGCTGTCGATGGTGCCGAAGAGGCACCGCCCCTCCGCCGCGGCGTCGGCCACGGCGGGCACGTTCTCCATCAGCCACACCAT